TTGCATGATAAACTTATTTCCAATATTGCCCAGCATCTATCGATCCTCTTGTTTTTTTACATTCAAATTGTGCTTCTGAAAGTTCTTATGAATTAGAATAAGAAATTCAGCAAGAGTTTCACATGGCTGAGAAAATTTTGCAATATTAAGAGTCATGGGTTGAATCATGTCACCCTAAATTAGTATGTGGATGTTCAAACCCCCAGTGCCTCAGAATGTGACCTTACCTGGAAATGGGATCTTTACACAGGTAATCAAGTTAAAAATAGAACTACAAGGTGGATCCTAACACCTATTATGACTGGTGTTTATTTATTTATTTTTTAAAGAGGGATATTTTGAAACATACTCGAGGCAGAAGAACGTGTGAACCTCAAAGCCGAGAATGAAGTGATGCATGAACAAGCTAGTAAAGGCCCCAAGGTGCTGACAAACCAAGAATAAAAGAAGATCCTTCCTGCTCCCTCCGAAGAACCAACCCTGCCAGCACCTTGATTGTGGATTTCTAACCTCAGTTTCTACTGTTTTAGCCACGCAGTTTATGACACTTTGAAAACCAACAATTAAATAATTCTTATTATAGTAATGTGCCCCATAATGATACTTTGGTCAATGACAGTCTTGTTCATGAGTGTAGTCCCATAAGATTATGATGGGGCCCCAAACCTCCTATTGCTTAGTGGGTCTCAGCACAACCTGTTATTCACGTGTGTGTGGTATTGCTGGTGTGCACACACCTACTGTGCTGACTGCTGTTTAAAAGCTAGCATGTAAAGTGTTATGTGGCACATCATGAGAAGAAATATTGATGCTTCTGGTTTATGTATTTATGAAACTCTCTGTTGTCACTTTAGACTGTACTCCCCCTTCTTATCAAAAAGGTTTATTGTAAGCGTGCTGTTACCTTGGATGAAGTCTCATATGTGTCTTATTTGTTGTGTGTCCTGGTTGCAGCAGGAGGCCACATCAAGCGACTGATCTATACCACACAGATTTGTGTAATTAAGTTCTCTGGAACTTGCTTAACAATGAGATTGCCTGACATCGAGTTTCTCAGAGTGTATCCTCCCTGATAAGTGACACATGACTGTCCTCTTAAATTCAGACACAATGGGGTAACATGTCGGCATGTTATGATTATTGAAATCTTTTGTATATTCTGTAATAATGATTATTCATCATATATTATCCCATTTCTCTGTGTGAACTTGGTACATAAAATTCTTCACTTCTCAGAAGATATACAAGCGATCAACAAATATATGAAAAAGTGTTCAACATGTTTAGTAATTAGAGAAATGCAAATCAAAACTACACTAAGATTTCATCTCACTCCAGTCAGAATGGCAGTTATCAAGAATATAAGCAATAATAAGTGTTGGTGAGGATGTGGGGAAAAAGGTACACTCATGCATTGCTGGTGGGACTACAAATTGGTACAACCACTATGGAAAGCAGTGTGAAGATTCCTCAGAAAACTTGGAATAAAGCCACCATTTGATCCAACTATCCCACTCCTCAGTCTATACCCAAAGGACTTAAAATCAGCATACTATAGTGACATAGCCACACCAATGTTTATAGCAGCTGAATTCACAATAGCTAAACTGTGGAACCAATCTAGATGCCCATCAATAGATGAAGGGATAAAGAAACTGTGGTACATATACCCAATGAAATACTACTCAGCACTAAAAGAGAATAAAATTATGGCATTTGCAGGTAAATGGATGGAATTGGAGAATATTTTGCTAAGTGAAGTAAGCCAATCCCAAAAAACTAAAGGCTGAATGTATTCGCTGATTAGTGGATGCTGATCTCTGATGGTGGTTGAGGGGCATGGGAGGAATGGAGGAACTTTGGATTGGGCAAAGGGGAGGATGGGGAGGGGTTATGGGGGCAGGAAAGATGGTGGAATGAGATGGATATCATTATCCTAGGTATACGTATGATAGCATAAATGGTGTGTCTCTACATTGTGTACAACCAGGTTATTGAAATGTTGTTCTCCATTTGTGTACAATGAATTGAAATGTATTCTGTACATGTACAACTAAGTAGAACAAATAAAAAAAATATTATTTCCAAATTTAAATATCACCTTAGGAATATTTCTGGTATAGTTGCTACTGACTGAGAGGAGTGAATTCTCCCAATGAAAATTGGTATTAAAAAGTAAGAAATACAAAAATTAGAAAAAGTTTGTCCTATTTGGCATTGTTGTCAATAGAGCATACACTATATAAACATCTTGTATAAAATAACGTAGGTACTACTTTTGCTGAAACGAAGGCAAAAATTTTTATGGAACGAATACAAAATCATTAATAAATTATATATACTATTTTGGCCCACGAACAGAATACCCAGACATATAAAGTAATGATTAGTCACCTTTGAAAACTGCTGGCTTTCAGTCATAGAAAAACTGTAACTTTACATAACTACATTTTTATTTTATTTTGTTGTTATGAAGGTGTATTTGTCAATGTGGGAGGATAGAACATATTTCATTTAACAGTTTTGCTAGCTTGATTTAATCTTTTAAATATTTAGATATGTGGTATGTGAGCCTCCATTTGTATTCATGCCCCAGGCCCTATAATTGTTAGGGGTGGGCCAGGAACTAGTAATGACAGCAGAAATAAAGCCTGAAGCTATGAACAGATGCCAAACTAAAATCTGAAACTTGCTTCTACTCTAAGAGCATCCTGAGCACTTCATGAGAAAACCCAATACAGTCCCTTCGTAGCCAGTGACCATAGTCCAAGGGCCCTCGGCTCCTGCCAGGTTTCATACACCTGATACATTTTACTGATGTCCTGATTTTCTGAATGCTAGGTTGTGGCAGGGACATTCTTTTTTTTTTCCCCTAGTAATTCTGTGGCACTTTCAAATAAACAGCAATTTATAATTGCATTTCACTCTTATTTTGGAAAAAGTAGCATAAGAATTAACAGAAGGCCTTCTGAGGGATCCTTAATGTGATATTCTCCAAGGCTCTCATTTTGTTCACATCTGCCATCCACTTTTAGTGAGGTTTGGCTTCTAACTAAGGGCTATGAGGACAGAGATGGGAACTAACATTCTATCTGAGATTAGGGGTGGGAACTAGCAATGACAGCACAAATAAAGCCTGAAACCATGAGCAGATGCCAAACTAAATTCACAGGGTAAGTGGTGATGGTTGAGAGAGGCACAAAAAAAAAAAAAAAAAAAAAAAAAAAAAAAAAAAGCAGGCACATCACAAGTCCCTAAGGGAAAGAAACCAAGAGCATCAAAATGCCAAGAGGAATGCAATCAAGATGGAGACCAGCCTGCAAAAGGCCCCGTGGGATTTCCAACTTAGATTGCATTTTGGCGTTAAGTCCCTCCAAGCAAAGGTAGTGACTGTACACTACATGATATTGTGATGGATAAATGGACATCGAACACGTAGCAGAGGTGCTGGATGGCAGCAGACACTTCCAGTTGTCAACAGGCATCTTTAAGAAACTTTAATACCTACTCTACGGACATCAGTTCACAAAAACTGTTAAACTCTGTCTAAAATTAAAAACCATGAGAGACTTAGGGTTCATCAGAACGATGGCAGCAAAGAAAGAGCAAACACTTCCAGAAATAAGGAAATGTAAATGTTTAACAAGTAACTTTGATTACAACAAATAACTGATGCAGATTGAGCAGGCAGGAAGTCTAGGGCTCAACAGGAAAGGCAGATTAGAGAACCACATTAATCAGCTTGTGATGCAGATTATCAACCACACTTGAAACACAGATTAATAGGAACAAATAAGGTACCAGGGTGGGAAGCATTTTTACAGCCAGTAACAGAAGTTTTAATCTTTGTTTAAATAAGACTTCAAAAGGATTCCACATATAACCTATGGCGAGATTATTGGGGGGAAAAAAAAAACTTACAAAAATGTAAGGCAAAGTGACCAAACTTCCAACCTTTTCTAAAATCAAGCAACACTTTCTACCTGGGCAAGCAGAATATAATTAGCGCTGGGCTGATTTTAAAGACTTTTAATGGCCTTTAACTGCTGTTGAAGTAGTAAAACAGTGTGGCTGAAGGCCAATGTTTATTTTTACCCATTACCTATTTTATTAATGGGATTGTGGGCCACTGGGCCTCAAGGAACACACCAATGTATTAAAATACCCCACACTGTAATTAAGTGGCACAGAGGGGATTAGAGCAAGCTAAGCGGCACTTCCATTTGCCATGGGTGTGGTCCAGGCCAGACATGTTGGTGTTCTCAGAATGGACCCAGGGAATTCCGCTTCAGATAATACAAAATATGGAGGAGACTTTCTTGCAGAGCAAAGGTTTGAATAATTAGGTCTTTCTCCCCAAATAAAATATACTTAAGGAAAAAATGTCCCAAGAGGATACTTTCAGAGTGGAAGATGAACATCCCTTAAGCAAGAATAAATGGAGTCTTTTATCTTTTAAAGAAAGGGAGTCTTTAGACTCCATTAAAAGGGTCTCAGAATGAATCCAAATTCCACAAAACTCTCTATCCAAGTATGGGGCTTCCGCCCCTTATGTGAACTAGAACTTCTCGTTCTTTGAAGGGAATAAAAAATAAAGTGATCACTTAATTTTTGCCCTGTTCAATAAATTTAAAGTATCAGAATGCTTACAGTATGTACAACAGACCCTTTAAGCTGGAGTAAAGTTTCCTAAGCCAGCACCCTGTCATTTTTTGTTTGATTTTTACCGAGTCCATTGTTGCCACTAAATGTTAGATTCATCTTAAAATAGTAAATGTAATAAGATTTGTTGCTTTGATCATTCAGATTCCACATTACCACGCTTAAGATTACTGCCAATGCTGGTCTCCTGTGAATCTTCATATCAGAGTAAAAGTAAAATGGAATGACATTTGAAAACATAGTGTTTGGGCCCTGGCAGAGAACAACATTGCCTTTGCCCTAGAAACCAGTGAGGAAATGCTTAGAAATGACAAAAAAAGGAGACTCAAAGTACTTACGAGGAACCTGGACTTGCGGTAGGAGGGGGTCCTGAAGAAATGAAAGAAAAACAAAAGAAATAGTCAGTCTGGGTAATTGGAGGGTGAGTGTGGGTACAATCAAACTACTACAAATTAAAGTTCTCAACCACCTAAAGGGGATATTTATTTTTCTGGGATTTATTATTTTATTCCAGCTCCCCTCTCCAACCACCTCTGTGAATAAAAGCATAGCAAAGAGAACATATCTCTATTCCACAATTCAGGGCTGAAAAATGCTAAAAGATGAGCCAACAGAGTGCATCTTCAGATGGCAGGGAGCTTCCAATAGAAGGCTGAGTGATTGCATGAGGATGTCAATTGCAAAAGCGAGAGGGGGCTTCCAATCTCTGAGGAAGCTGCATGGAAGAAGGGCATGCTCACTGCCATGCCCCTGGCTTGTCTGGGCAGGAGCATCCTTGCGGAGAAGAAGAGCTCTGTGGCATGGTGGTTTGTAGTAAGGGTGTTAGGATCAGACAGAACTGGACCTCATTCCTGCTCTGCTATTTACTAACTGCACAATCCTAAATATGCTAATTAACTACTGGGCCATGAATTATTTATCTGCAAATTGGGTACAGCTCTGCTTGGTTTAGGACTGCTCTACCATCTAGTGCTTACTTCCTCCTTCCTTGCCCTGGTGGACTCTGGTTGTCCTAGCACATTGGGCTGAGGGTCAAAGACCATCCCCAGTAGGAGGCTGCTTACCAAACTTGACAAACAAGACTCCAGTGGTGGACACCACCTTCTTGCCATTTGTTGCCACACACTGGAAGTAGCCTGTATCTGTGGTGTCGAGGTTTCTAATCCGCAGCCGCGAGCCATAGTTGGTTGCCCGGAAGGAGATTCTCCGGGGCTCCTGGACCACAGGCGCATCATTTTTGAACCAGCGGATAGTGGGAGGTGGATTTCCAGAGACTTTGCAGTGCAGTTCCGCTGTCTGCCCCAGGGATGTGGTGATGTTATTCATTGGTTCATCCAGGGTCAGATAAGAATCTGTGGCACAAGGGGGAAGGAAAGAAGTGAGAGGACTGGAGAGAACCTCTTAGCAACCTGAATGGATTCCACTGTCAGAGTCATAGAGAGACAGAAGAGGGGAAGCACATGGAGAAAGCAGAGGATTGAAGCAGTGGCATTTACCAAGACCATGACTGCTAACCCTCATCCACAGGGCCTGCTGCTTGGAGGGAAATTTATTACTAATCAGAATATAAAACTCAAAGTCCTCAAATAACTACATGGTACTCATGGATAAATGTACTTTTTAAGATAAGACGAGATAAGTGCTGGAGAGGATGTGTGGAAAAAGGTACACTCATACATTGCTGATGGGACTGCAAATTGGTGCGGCCAATTTGGAAAGCAGTATGGAGATTCCTTGGAAAACTAGGAATGGAACCACCATTTGACCCAGCTATTCCTCTTCTCAGACTATATACCCAAAGGACCTAAAAACAGCATATTACAGGGACACAGCCACATCAATGTTTATAGCAGCACAATTCACAATAGCTAAACTGTGGAGCCAACCTAGATGTCCTTCAGTGGATGAATGGATTAAAAAAATGTGGCATTTATACACAATGGAATATTACTCAGCAATAAAAAATAATAAGATCATGGCATTTGCAGGGAAATGGATGGCATTAGAGCAGATTATGCTAAATGAAGTTAGCTAATCCCAAAAAAACAAATCCTGAATGTCTTCTCTGATATAAGGGGGGGGGGTGACTAAAATGGGGTTGGGAGGGAGAGCAAAGGAGGAAGACTACCTCTAGATAGGGAATAAGGGTGGGAGGGAAAGGGAGGGAGAAGGGGAATAGCATGGATGGTGAAAGGAGACCCTCATCATTATACAAAATACATGTATGAAGATGTGAATTTGGTGTCAACATACCTTATATATAATCAGAGATACAATAAATTATTGTATAATGGTGTATTAAGAATTGTAATGCAAAATAAATAAATAAATAAAATCATAAAAAAAGATAAGACAAAATGAACCTTTGTGTTTCAGATTATAAAAATAATGCATGCTCCTTGTTGCAAATTCCAACAGAAGAACGGGGGTGGTGGGGGGTGGGGAGTAAAATTTACCTAAAATTATTTCTACTCTAAACTTACATCTTTCTTAACCTCTGGCAAACATACTTCCAGTTTTGCCACTTTTTTAAAAATATTTTTTTAGTTGTAGATGGACATAATATTTTATTTACTTATTTTAATGTGGTGCTGAGGATTGAATCCAGTGCCTCATACATGTGAGGCAAGGGCTCTGCCACTGAGCCATAATCCCAGCTCCCCCCACCCCCCCAATTTAGCCACTTTTGATAACAAACAAATCATCAAAAGCTAGGAAAAGGGGCTGGGGGTTGTAGTTCAACAGTGGAGTGCTCGCCTAGCACAAGCGAGGCCCTGGGTTCTATCCTCAGCACCACATAAAAATAAAATAAATAAAATAAAGATATTGTGTCCAACTACAACTAAATATTAAAAAAAAAACCTAGAAAAAGCAGGAGCAACACATTTAGATCTACATGGCACAGGACTGAGAAATGTGCCTGAAACCTTCCTGAACTGAGGGGTGCTTAACAAATGAGCCACATCCCCAGCCCCCCTTTTTTATATACTTTTATTTAAAGATAGGGTCTTCTTAAGTTGCTAAGTGCATTGCTAAGTTGCTGAGGTTGGCTTTGAACTCATGATCCTCCTGCCTCAGCCTCCTGAGCCACTGGGATTACAGGCATGAGCCCTGCCTCCAGCTAATGCTCCTTCTTGACAGAACATCAGTGTCCCACAAACTACCCTGAAGTCTTTTGTAGTCAATCCCTGCTCTCAAACATATCCTCCCTCCTATCCGGAGGCAACTACTGTTCTAATTTCTATCATCATAATTAATTTGCTTATGCCAGGATCTCATATAAATGGAATCATGCTATAATTGTGTTTGGCTTCTTTTGTGATTTTGTTGCATCAAAGATTTTAACAATGAAATAAGTTATATTTAGGATTATTCTTCAATAAATACTGTTTTAAAAATCATACTAAATATTAGTTGTGGAACCCAGAGGCAAATAAAATAATATGAAATTAGGTTTACTATTTTAAAAAATTGCTCGCTCTTCACATATATGCAGTTTCCTTTGGTTCTGTCTTTCCTGACCACGCATCCTTGGGTAGATTCTCTGTCGTACTTTCCCACCATTCACTGCTCTCTGTCCATCCCTAGCCCCAAACCTGGGATGCTTGTTAAGCAGTTGCCTTCATTGCTACACTACAGCAAGCAGCTGCAAGGCAGGCCACAGAAGGTTCTAGTCTCCCCTCCCCATGCATCACAGAGCCCAGCAGTGTCTAGCAACTCCCTGCAGGGATGGATGTGTTTTATGAGCTGCAGTGACTGGCAGCCTCTAATCACACATGGCTTACAGAGCTCATGAAATATGGTTAGAGGACAGAGGAACCAGATTTTTAAACATAAACAGTCACAAGTGGCTAGTGGCTACTGTATCGAACAGCACAGTTGAAACACAGTAAATTTGTTGCATTTAATGGAAATTTATTGGAAAATAACATTTTCGAGCTCCTTAACTGGGTTATTTAATTACTTGAATGCCTATAAAATGAGTTCATAAATGCTAAAAATAAATGATTCATTATTTGCTTTCATTTTCCACCAACAAATTGGGAAGGGGTGTTGCTAAAATCTGGCAACCCCTCAGGAGCATGCCGAATGTGTGAATGGCCCTTACCGGGTGCATGTGGTGGAAAAGAGACTAAGCAGGACCATCATTCACTGTGTTACCATAACAATAGTTTTCATCTCTCCTAAGCCAGTGAATAATTATTTCTCACCACACACAATCATGGTTCCATAAATGATTTTGCTAATGCCTTGCTTTCTTAATATATATTCTGATCTCTAGAGCATGTTTCTATAAGGAAACTATAATTTCATATATCATAATATGCACATATGTATGCATATGTATCATACATATATATGATGCTATATATATATTCTATTTTGTACTTATTATACTTATCTTTTTCAATCCCTGAATCTATTTGTTCATGAATATAATCACACATGATCTTTAGATGTTGGAGATATGCCCAGAAGGTAGGGAGTTATTATTACACCTTTAAACCCCAACTGACGTTTTGATAATGTATAACTACACACTCTCTGTAGAGAGAAATGTAGACATAGCAATCACATAATACCAATATAAGCGTAGTTATTAATTTTCCATTGGATAGATTCTGGAATTTAATTGGCTGGGTGTGAATCTCTGGTCTTCCCCCTGCCTATCTGTGTGAACCTGGGCAAGTTATTTAATCTCTCAGTACCTCAGTTTAGCCAACTGAAAAACAGGAATTACAGGGTTCCACCTGGCAAAACCGTTAGTGAAAGATTAAATCAGGTGACGCCGTAAAGCACTTAAAACCAGTGTTTGGTGAAACATAAGCACTCAGAAATGTTAATCAATGTTGCTACTATCATTTTTATAATAATAACCTCTACATAATGGCAGATTACATAATGTTTTCATGGCCTCCATCTCCTGTTATCCTCTAATGTCTGGGTCAGTAGGAAAGGCACATTAATTGACCAGGATTCCCAGTTGTAGATGAGAGAATTCTGACTCAGAGATTAACTAACTCGCCTGTGATCACACAGCCAACTGCCCAAAGCTTCCATCATCAATGGCCTTCAGTTCTCAGCTTGGCCTCACACCTATACGCAATCCAAGGGAGGCAGCTGCCAAAACAGCAGCAATAACAGAGGGCCTTGTGATGCTGCCATATGTAGAGGGTTTATTTTAGTATTAACCAACATGGTAACTCTGAGAGGGAGACTTGCTATTGCTGCTTTAGGAGGAGGAAACCTGGGATTAGAGAGGGGAAGTGACTTGCTCAAGGTCTTCTGGCCAAACTAAGGTCCATTTCACGTCTTTTTGGTTCCACCATCTGGCTCTTCCCGCTTCATCAAACTGCTTTGGTACTTGAGCCCCACCTAGGGCTGGGCACAGAGCTGGGATTGCTGCCTAACTCAGGGTGGACCCCAACACACAGCCACTCTCAGGCCAGGGCTCTTCCCCTACCTCCGGGGGTCTGAGCTTCAGCCATGTTTCCAGTGGGTGTCTCAGTGCCAGGAATCTTGCCTGACCTGCTCTGTACAGTATCCATATTACACCCATCTAAAAACAAAAAGCGGGGTGTAGGGCAACTGGAAACCAGTGTGTTTCCGGAAAGAACAAAGGAAACATAAACAGATCTTTGTGTTTACTGAGCAATGGAGCCTTGCCACAATTGGAGATTTGGTCTTGATTTCTTCCCAACATAGAAGAAGATTGGCATTTGTTGGCCATCTGTAGCTACTCACTTAGCACGCAGGACTAAAAAATGGTCTGCTCCTCAGCTGGGCAAAAACCAGAAGCATCAGAACAGCATTTTGCCTAAACGACAGGAAGGCATTCTGTGCCGGGAATAAAATAAAGTGAAAACGCATGTCTGCATCCCTGCTCTCTTTCTTGTTGTTAACGAGCCCTTGGCCAGGATCCATTCTCTTCCCACAACCAGCTGGAACTTCGGTGGCAGCCTCGTGGGCCATGCTAGGGGCCCAACTCTAGTCTTATCCAAAGCTCAGTGTGACCATTGCAGATTCTGATCTAGCCGTTCCTTTCAGAGAACACCTAGGCTTGACCTGCACACTGGACTCAAATACCAGTTCTGCCCCTAATAGCTGTGGGGGTCCCACAGCCACTTCACCTCCTTAGGCTTTGCATTTGTTGTCTATTGCTGGGGTCTCTGGGGGAAGTTTGTATTTCCACTTGGGCAGAACCATTAAATGACAGGCAACAGGTGCCTGCTGAACCTGAATATAAGACAATGCCTTTTGGCCCTACATTTGAACCTGGCTGTTTGTCATTTTTTCTGGTGGTTTGATACCTCTGACAATGTGTGCTTGGGCTGTGGTACATTTCTGACCC